TTTTTTTTTTTTTTTTTTTTTTGCGGTACGCGGGCCTCTCACTGCTGTGGCCTCTCCCATTGCTGGACGCGCAGGCTCAGTGGCCATGGCTCATGGGCCCAGCCGCTCCCCGGCATGTGGGATCTTCCCAGACCGGGGCACGAACCCGTGTCCCCTGCATCGGCAGGCAGACTCTCAACCACTGCGCCACCAGGGAAGCCCTGACCAGCAGAATTCTTTACCTCGAATCTTCAAAGCTTGATACAGTCAGGATTTCAGAGTTTTGCCAATCCAATCGTTTTTTTAAAAATGGTATGTCATGGGAATTCCCTGGTGGTCCAGTGGTTAGGACTCCACACTTTCACTGCCGAGGGTGAGGGTTCAATCCCCGGTCAGGGAACTAAGATCCTGAAAGCTGTGGGATGCGGCCTAAATAAATAAATAAATAAAATCGTGTATCTTTTGAATTTTCTCTGATTACTAGTTGAGTGTCTTACATGTTTGTTGGCCATTCAGGCTTCCTTTTCCAAGAATTACCTTTTCATTTCTTTTACTTATTTTTCTGTTGAGTTGTCTTCATTTTCTAATAGATATGTAGTCCTTTGACTGTAGTCTTTCCCTCGAAGCAGTACAAAATGTGCAGTAGATCAGCAAGTATCCCAGTCATCCCTTCCATTTCACACAATATATCCTCTAACAAGCTCTGAGGGCAGGGACAGCATACTGCTGTATCCCCCAGGACCTAACACGCCCCTCACAGATGGCGGACAGTGAGATTTGTATTACTGCAGCTCAGAGGAGAGGTCTGGGATGGAGATATACCTGTGAGCATCATTAACATATACAGGAGATTTCATGCAATGGAAATGAATAACATCAACTAGGAAGGTTGTAGAGAGAGAAAAAAAGGGACGGTTAAACCCTGAAGGGCTACAGCATTTAGGCAAGGGAGATCTTCATTAAGTAAGAAAATCCTGAAGCTATCAAACAACCTATTTGATTATCTAGAAGTTTAAAAGTTGTATGGTAAAAGATACCATAAGCAAAGTCAATAAACAAACAATAGATATGGGGAAGACACTTATAATGTAGATGACAAGGTCCAACATATAAAGAGCTTTTAAAAATTGATAAGAAAAGTCAGGCTAATTGTAAAATGGATAAAGGATGTTAATAGCCTATTTACAGAAAAGGAAATCCAAATAGCCAACAAATATATCTCTTAAATGCTCAACTTAATTT